TACAAATTAGTTATATTATATTAATTTAATAATTTATTAATTATTTTTATTAATACTTGATGTTATGAAAATGTTTGTAATAAACCACTGGATTTACAATTTTGAATTCATATATGTATAAGTTGCAGGATGCTTAAAATATTTCTAAAGATAGTTTTTAACTTAAAATTAAAATTAAATATTTTATTATAAATTTCATAATTGATTTATTTAAAACATAATTATAATAATTTATCCAAATAATTTTATTCTAATTTTAAATAACTTTTTTCAATTTTAAGTAATTCAAATATAAGATACATAATAAATATTTATTTTTATTCTTAAACAACTCTTGATAGCAACTCCCTTAAAAATACTCTTATATATAATTGAAATCTAACTTTAATAGTTTATCCTATTGTATTTTTTTTTATACAACCATTTTTCTTATTTATTAATTTACTCAACACAACTATCATAATCTTAATGAACTCAAAATTTTAATCAAATAAAAACTGAAATTATATGACATTTATCAAGTCTACGTGAATAGGATAACTCTTTTATCAAGCGTAAATAAAAATCTTAACATATATTATTAGAGAAAAGGTCGGTGAAAAGGACTCAAAAAATAGTTAATAATAAAAATTTTGTATATATATAAGGTTTGGAGAATGGATTCACTCGAATTCGGTTAAGCATCATCATGAATAAGTTGGCGTTATGGATAAAACTTTTACTAATCTTATGTTTTGATATTATGAGAATGTAACCTAGATGATAATTATGATATTAGTTATTTTGAAGTATTCCGATCACTACTATGAAAAAGACAAGTATTAACTAATAAGATCCTGAACCCTGATTTGATCGAAAGGAGATATATTCATTGAATACTCTCATAATAGAATCTGAAAATCATTTTAAAAATTTTATTTTTTAGAACATTTACTAAATGTATTTAGAATGATTTTTAAAATTCAATCCGGTCTAATAAAAAAGTATTTTTTTTAGTTGTCTGATTTACATGAATTGAATTAACTCGATATAACAACATTCATAACTCATGAAACTTCATTACTTGTCATTGCCAAGGAAACGACACAAAAATAAGTTTGTTAGAGATGTTGAATTTGATTGCCTGTATGACGTCAAAATGTAGACGGATGAGGTGTAAACTGTGTTGATGATCATCCAAGAAGATATGTACACCAAGAAAAAGACGGGAAATTTGGTAGAAAAAGCCACCACACTCGCTTTAATGTCTTTCGTTTACTTGTCATTGTCTTATATCCAATCTTTTTCTTTAATAAATATTTTCACCATCCATAAACCAAAGGTTTTCATATAATAATAAGAAGGACATCATTGAGAAATTAAAAATTTATATTTTAAATTATATCTGATGGCTAAATTATTATCAACTTTTGAGTTTATTTTGTCCTTAAAAAATAATTCAATTAATTAAGAGAAAATATATATATATATATATATATATATATAATTAAGAAAAAAAGTTATATATAAACTATTAAACCAGACTCTACTCTCTATTTCATGGTAGTCATCAATATTCTATCTAAAAATAAAAAGTGTCATAGTTTCATATCCGTTATAATAACATTGTTATAATTAGTGTCCGTTTTGAAATTTTCGCTCTATCACAATTTTATTTTTGGATAAATTTCAAAATTTTATCTTGATTATCACTTAATATTTACATTTTTTTTGTGTGTAAATTTTTGTTTAGATTCAAATATCTGGCATCAAATAATATCTCACGCAAATATCTTTAAATCATGAAAGAAAGAAAAAAATGGACAATATTTTCCTAGAACTATTCAATTAATTGCAAATTCTCAAAGCGAATTTAATTTAAGCCTCGGTTTATTTTAAAATTTAAATAGAAATGTTTTTATAAACTAATTTTATATTAAAAATGAATACCATGTAGTTACTCTGTATATAAAATTACTTTTGGTAAGCAGTTATTAAGGTTTTTACTATTCATAAGAGAAATATATTCTTAACTTTCTTGAAAAGATAAAAAGTAAAATACAATAATTAATTTAACCATGTGCGTATTGCTTATTTTGAACGAAAACAAATTTGCATACTATCAAAGGCATTACTGTGTTTTGGAAAACGTAACTTCACTAATACATCTTTAAGATTATTTTTTAATATGTTTGTGTAATTTCAAAAACTTTCAATTAATTGACTTGACCTAAATGGTTTCGAAACGCACACTGGAACGTTTTGTTCTATAATATGGACATGTTTGTTACTTGTTAGGGTTTTTCAATGAGAACTTCTTAAAATAAAAATAAAATAAGAAATAAATAAACTTTTTCGTAAATTAAAATTAGTTTATATATAAATCAAAATACAACTTTAAAGAAGTTAGATGAAAGAAGTTGTACAAATTAATCTATACGTAACTTTATTTTAATTTTTATATAATTTGGTAAAATATTTTTTTTCTTTTTCACCAAACAATGTTTTCCTTTTCTTTACATTTGCTTCCTAAATCAATCGAACATATATTTTGATGGGATGATAAAAAAAAAACTAATTACTTATAAAAAATAAAAATAAAAAGTTGTTTCAAATTCTAAATTATTCTCTTTTTCTTCGATTTCTCTTCCCACGCTAACTTGATCATAAAACAAAACTATAGAAAAACATATTACATGATCTAATAATATAGACAACAAAATTCTAAAACTGTTATTTCTTAATTAAAGGAACAAATCAGTGAACAAATCTGCTTATGCTCTTGTTTGTAATGATGATCCTGATGAATGAATTTGAGGTGCAGGCCAAAGAAGGTAGGACAGTGTTTCTGATGTTGATAGTGATGGCGTATTGATGTGATGTTCTGTCACTACCAATTTTTGGTTCTGAGTTTAAACTGAAGGACAAGTACAAACTACAAATGGCATAGCATCATCCACCATCTAATCTACTCTTCTACACCTTCCTCCACTACGAAGCTTCCTCCATATTCCTTCCAAATACTATACTACTATGTATGCAATGCATTCTGGTTAATAATCTTATATCAAACATGTTATTTACAACGAATTTCTAAATAATATATTAAGTGTGTCATCACAGGTCCATAGAGATGAAAGTAACTCAACTGTCACATAATGAACATAGGCAAGCTCTGTTAGAATGTAACATATTAGGGTTAGGGTTAGGGTTAGGAAAATTCTCACTTTTTGACCAACACTTGATTGGTGTACGAGGAAGGAAAATATTTTCTTCACAACTCAAATATCCATCCTACAATTAATAAGATTAATATAATAATACCATTTAATATTATATTAATACTTTTGTTATTTCTTAATATATGATTGTCAAATGATCACCCTATTTCAATAAATATTAAGAAATAAATGAATATTTGATTACGGATGGATAATTTATTTGACACGCGGAGCTTAATGCATGCAATCTCTTTCAATTATTTTCTGGTAAAACTAGATAAAATAATTCAAATATTTTATATAATGTTATTTTTTTTAATATTATGACATGTAATAAATAATAATGTTTATTATATAAATGAATTATAGGACAAAAATCATTTCTCAACTCTATATATGATTAAATATTAAATATATAAGCATAAAAAATATATTAAATAACAACAAGCATAAAAATATATTAAATACCCATAATCTTTAAAGTGGATATCAAATAACAATAATAATAATTTTTCATGTTTTATTTTTTATTATAATATTAGAAGTATTAAATACTACTTCTTCTTCTACTACTAATAATAATAATAATAATTTTTATCTTGTAATTTTATTTTAGATTATTAAAATAAAATTTCCAAGTAATTGCATAAAAAAATAGATTGCCAAAATATTATTGCTTTTCCATGAAGAAGTGTCCGTAGAAAATATAATACAGAGGGATATATTTAGTGAAAATGTTTTATATATGACAGAGAAGATTAAATATTAATTAACTGTTTTTATCATATTAAAAATAAAAATAGATAAGAATTATGTGATCTTATACACATTTATATAAGCTAAATCTATTTTATATTATTAAACAATTTCTATTCGATAATTTATTCACAAAATTGATTGATAAATTGAATTTTATAATTTTCGAATATACTACAAAATATTAATATAAAACTATTTAATATCTTATATATATATATATATATATATATATATATATATATATATATATATATACGATCAAACTGACATAATATATGTTTTTTAGAATATATTAAAATAGAAATATTTTTTATAATTTTATTGTCACTTAAGTTTGACGATAACTAATATAACATATAATTATTATAATCTAATGATTATATCAGTGAAAAGTGCATTCTATATAATCGATGTTAAGTGTGAACTACCAAAAAAGTTTCTTGCTGTTTGACTGACAACGTTTTTTCAAGAAAATATAAAATTGTTGGGAAAGAAGTTTATTAATTATTCTATCATGAATTTTTTTAAGACAATCCTCCATTTTAATTTAAAATGACAAGCTCTCTAAAAAATCAACTTCATATTAGAACTTCACTGATGAAGAATAATTCATGTATAAGATCAGGTAATAAGTAGATCAGGTCATTTTATTATATTAAAAAAGAAAAAGGAAAGATAAAGCTAGGTTGATAAGAAGCAGAAGAACACAAACACATTGACAGAATCATGATAAAGAATAATAAATCAAGATAAAATATATAAACTTATTAATTCCTGTCTTCTGTATAGAAATTATATATAGATTCAAAGCCGGCTTGTAGAATACTTCTCTTAGCAAACATCTAAGACTTTTCCACATATATAACACACACAAACACTTGACTATCATAGGTAGGTAATGTCTATGTCCTCATTTTGTCTCTTCCTCAAACCACCTCCACCCTCTCCTTTCTATAATAATACCCTCTCTAAGACTCTCTCCATTTATCATATATACAATTATTAAAACAAATTAGTTAAGTCCATATCTTCCCCTTTACCATGGACTTAAACCACCCAGAAGAGTGCTACTCCAAGAGCTCCAGCGAGGAAACCAGTGACCATGATCTGGTGGGAACTGGGAGATCTTACGAGTGCATCTTTTGCAAGAGAGGCTTCACCACAGCACAAGCCTTAGGTGGACACATGAACATACACAGAAAAGAAAGGGCCAACAAGACCAAACCCAGTTTCCCTCCTCCTCCTTCCACTTCTACCAAAGTTGACGGCATCAACAACTATGCAGATCTCGTCTCCCATTCCCAAACTCCAAGCCACTGCACTCCTCCTGATGCTAATAGCTTCGGTGATGTTCGTTTTCCTGCCGCTGCACGAAGTGTTAGACCCTCCCATGGTGAGGTTTTGTGTGCAGAAGAAAACCAACTGGGACTCGTGTTTGAGCAGGATTGGAGGTTGAGAAATTTCAACTTGTACACTAATCCACCGTGCTTTCATGAAATCAAGGATAAATTTGAAGACATTGAAGAGAATGGTCTGGATTTGGAGCTGAGGTTGGGTCATCATCCATAGCATGCATATATTTGTATCTCATGCTATATATCCATCAAGCATGTTATATATATATATATATATATATATATATATATATATATATATATATATATATATATATATATATATATATATATATATATATATATATATATATATATATTGCTTTCTGGGCTCTATCTTGTGGACATTTGAATAGGAAGAGGTGGCTTGAACCAGAACGAAGTCAAAGCTTGGGGATTCTTACAGTGAGAATTAAGATGGCTAATAAGGTACTGCTCAAATAATATTTCTGTTGAAAATAATGTCTAGCACTAAATCTCACTATCCAGGGTTCTACACCAGACGAAGTTCCTAATTATGTGAATGTTTCTTTTGGTAATCATTTTAAGTTTAGTTCAGTTTTGTCACACAATATTCCTTGCTTGTTACGATAAAAATAAATTAGGTAAGTTCTATTATTATCATCATGTATTGTACTTTTAAAAGAAATCTCTTACCATATAATCCAAAAACTGTTTCCATAAAATATATAATTTTTCTTTGCATAACGTAACTGCTCCGGCAGGATGAGTATTAGCTCACTAAATCCATATAGAAGAAAACATTTATGGTTCAGCAATGTTATTATGATTTCTTAAATAGTGACTGAAAATTTCAAACATAAACATACAAGGGGAGTAGCTTCTACATCATGAAGTTATATTTCTTTGTTTTACGTGGTATCGAAGCAATAAGCAAAATGATTTACAAAATTATGATTCATCTTGACTCGTTTCCTGTAGTGGAAATTGTAGGATGAAAAAAATGTCGGTGATCTTGTAAAGAAGAACAAATAAAAATATTTGCTGCAATTTTTGACATTCGATGTATGCTTTTATTACTGAATATGATCAACAAAGTAAAACTCAAAATATATTCAGTACAAGTTACAATAATAATATACGGAAAAGCCCTTTATATCAAGAAAAACAAATTGATTTTTTTTTTCTTTTTGGGGGTTAGAGAACTGATTGTAAAAGTTTTTTATATCTCAATTAAAACTATAAGAATGGATACGTTCATTACAGTCTCAATGATGTGAACAAATATACACTTTTCATGAGTCAAATATTAATGTCCAATAATTTATGATGTATTAGGAATCCACTTTAATTACTATTTTATAAATCTGCATTAATTTTCCTATTTGCTGTCATATATTGCCATTATAATTACATCCTTTAGATTAACTTAATAGAAATAGAAATGTCAAATTACTAGCATATATTTTCTTACAGCATGTTTATATTTCAGTTTATTTTACTTTATATTCTCTATATTTTTTGTCTGTCTGTCTACAATAGGAAAAAAAAAAAAGAAATAGAATTCTCCAAATAATTAGGGTAGAAGAAGGTATAAAAATTGAAGTAAAAGATGGTAGAACTTAGTAAATTTCATTTGAGAGGCAATACTAAACCAAAGTTGTAATATATGATAATATAGCTTTACTCATGCCAATACTCTTTTTGCACCATCTACACATAATGATGTAAATTATTTATTTTCAAACAAGTTCAAATTACGCATCCTACACATAACCTACACTTTATTCAACTGACAAGAACAATAATAATAGCATGCATAACTTTGTTTCTCTTTGTAAGTACTATGTTTATAAGCAATATTTTGCAGTCATGCCTTCGAACGAATTAGAACTCCTTGGTAAGGTAACGAAAATTCGAATACTCTCTTGTTATACAATAGATGCAGATATTTTTATTTATTTTTTCTTTATTATTTCTTATGAAATTTAAACTGCCTTTTTGTATCATAAATTAGTTTTTTTAGTTACACATATGAACCATTAAACTTCAGACACTTAACTCATGACCTTCACATTGGTGAATAAGAACTGATCAGTGGTAATCAAAATTATTCCAAGCTGGGCTATCTTCATTCTAGCCATTTTTTCGCTTTTGGATACGTTTATTCCAACACTACATTTTTAATATATATATATATATATATATATATATATATATATATATATATATATATATATATATATATATATATATATATATGGTTCTTTGATAATGTGAAATATGCTACATGCAGATTGCTTACACGATCCTTATTCGCTCAATTACATGTTTTCGAAAAGTTTAAAAGAGATGCGTGATGTCTGGTAATGCATGCAACAATACTCATTGTTAGGAACAAGACAATAATAAAAGAAAGAATGAAGGAGAGAAAAATAAACGACACAAGAATTTTAACGTGGTTCGGCTAAAATATGTATGCCTACGTCCACGACTACACTAGGAAGTAATTTTTATTTCTGTGTGTATCTCAAACTTTACATAGGGTTGCTTATATAACAAAATAGAGAACCTCATCTCACAATCCTAATCGATGTGGGACTAAATCAAGCACCATAATACTAACAATTCTCCCACTTGGAGTTTGATTTACGTTACCACCTAGTGTAGTGCCTTCATCATCAATTTGCTCGAAGGCCAGTTGAGGCAATGCAAAGCCTCAACTTAGTTGTTGTAATGAGTCTTGGTCAACATATCAGCGGATTCTCTCGCACTGGAATCTTCAACAAACTCAAGTCTCCATCATTTATCGTGTTTCGATAAAATGATACTTCAATTCAATGTGCTTACATCTCGGAATGAAGGATTGAATTTTTAGCAAGACAAATAGCACTTTGATCGTCACTAAACAACGGAGAACCATCTTGTTCTCTTCCTAATTCTTTTGAAGGTTCTTCAACCATATCATCTCCTTCGCCGCTTCCGAGATAGCTACATACTCGCTTCAGTGGTAGAGAGAGACCCTTCCTTGAAGTTTAGACTTCCAACCGATAGTTGTACCACCCAATGTAAAAATATAACCTCGTTGTGCTCTTTCTACCGTCAAGATCACCTCCCAAGTCTCGCATCGAAAACCCCCGTAAAATGAGATTACTTCTCTTGAAAGACAAATGCATCTTTGAAGTGCCTTTCAAATATCCGAATATCCACTTCACTCCTTCCCAATGCTCATTTCCGGGATTTGATAGAAATCTGCTCACAACTCCCATCGCATGTGCTATGTCTCGGTCCGATGCAAACCATAGCATACATCAAGCTTCCTACCTGCAGATGCATATGGCACTTTAGACATGTGACTTTCTTCTTCTTCTCGTTTGAGAAGATTGCCTCTTTGAAAACTTTAAGTGAGTTCCCAAAGGTGTATTCCTGGTTTTAGCATTCCCAACATTGAATCTGCTAAGCAATTTTTCTATATATTTTTCTTGAGATAAGTTCAAAATACCTTTATCTCTATCTCGGAGATTCTCATACCAAGAATTTGCTTGGCTGGACCAAGATCCTTCATTTCAAAGCTCTCTGACAATTGTTTCTTCAACTTGTCAATTTCTCGTCATATTAGCTCCAACAATCAACATGTCGTCAACATATAAGGCAAGAATGATATAGCTATCAACATATTTCTTCACATAACAACGAGTGATCTTCTTCACATCTGCGAAATCCCGAGTTTCTCATAAACTCATTAAACTTCTTGTACCATTGTCTCGGCGCTTGTTTTAATCCGTACAAACTTTTATGAAGCTTGCATACAAGATTTTCTCCGCCTTGTACTTCAAAACCTTTTGGCCGTGTCATAAAAATTTCCTCTTCAAGATCCCCATGTAAGAATGCAGCTTTGACATCTAACCGCTCCAAATGAAGATTTTCTCGTAGTCTACTATACTCAAGATAACTCGATGGTAGTCATCTTGACAACAGGAGAGAAAATTTCGTGAAGTCAATTCCTTGTCTTTGTTGGAACCCTTTCACTACGAGTCTAGCCTTATATCTTTTGTCGCCATCCGGTTCTTCTTTCAACCTATAGACCCACCTGTTTTGCAAAACTTTCTTTCCTTCCGGTAGCTTGGTTAAAGACCATGTTTTATTCTTCCGAAGGGACTTTATCTCATCTTCCATTGCTAGCTCCCACTTAATAGATTCATCTCCCTACATAGCCTCAACGAAATGCTCGCTCACCAAAGATCGATCAACAACAAATAATGCAATGAAGGGGAATACCTTTGTGGTGCTACAATTGTTCTCGCTAGATCTTCTAACCAAGATTTCAGGAGTTGCCGACTCTACTATTTGTTCGAGTTCGTCTCGATGCTCGACATAGGCTCTACTTGTATATTCTCGCCTTCGGTTGACTACATCACTTTCTGAAATTTCTTCTAATGATACTTGCTCTAGTCGTTTATTTACATTTGCGGATTCCGCAATCCCGTCTCTATAGAACATGTTTTCATTAAAAGTAACATTTCTACTTCGATAATTTTCTTGTTTTGGTCATCCCAAAACCTCGTAGCCAAACATGTCAGATCCATAACCAATGAAATAACAACGTTTTGCCTTAGGGTCCAATTTATCTCTACTATTAGAGTCTAACATAACATATGAAGCACAACCAAAAACTTTCGGATGTGAAAGATTTACCTCTTTTCCGGACCATACTTCTTCAGTGTAACTTATAGTCTAAAGGAACCGATGGTCCTCTCGTTTATGAGATAGGTCGCTGTGTTTATTGCATCCGCCCAAAATACCTTGGGTAATCCCGACTGGATTCTCATACATCTTGCTCTCTCATTCAAGGTTCTCGTTCATTCTTTCCGCCACACCGTTTTGTTCCGGTGTTCCTGGAACTGTCTTGATCATTCCGATCCCATTCTCTCGAACAAAACTCCTTGAATTGACTACCGTCATATTCTCCACCATTATCGGACTTCAAACATTTGACCTTTAAACCCGTTTGAGTCTCAACCTCCTTTTTCCACCTTTTAAACACAGAAAACACATCGATTTATTTTTAAGAAAATAAACCCATACCTTTCTTGTAGAGTCATCAATGAAGGTTACATAATATTGTGAACCTCCAAGGGATTTCACCGAAGCCGGCCCCCAAACATCTCGTATGCACTAGTTCTAGTCTTTCAACTTTAGACGACTTACTTGTTT